GGTGGGTGGGTGGGTGGATGGATGGATCTATGAATGGATAGATAATGAAATACATGAAAAATAAAGGAACAATTGGGAACGGTTATTTTTTTTAAAAGTTTCTCAGTTCTTTCTATCACGTCAAACCTGACGATTTCGAACATAAAAATTTGACAAATAAATGCTTCCGTGAAATGTGTGTCTTGTCTGAATAGTATGACCCTGACATTCCCCCCCCCCCCCCCCCCCAGAGCCTACCCTGTGTGGTGGAGGGTCTGATGTTCGAACCTGCCCGGACTCTGTGTGTGAGAAAGCCACTATGGAGGAGTGCGGCAACAACCCGTGTGCTCTGTGTATGGTGGACCCGTGCACCTGTCGCCCCTACTTCGTGGACATGATCTCTGGGGCCAGGCTTAGCAGGTCTCAGTGCCAGGACTGTGAGTACATGTTTTTTGTGTTTGTCTGTCTGTCTGTATTTCTGTCTGTGTGTATTACTGTATTCGTTTTAGTACGGTCTTACGGCGCTCGCAACACTGCATAAGACATGAGAGCGCCTGTGTAGTTTTTGTCTGTCTGTCTGTCTGTCTGTCTGTCTGTCTGTCTGTCTGTCTGTCTGTCTGTCTGTCTGTCTGTCTGTCTGTCTGTCTGTCTGAAGTTTATTACTCCTTTGTTTCTTCCCTCAGTGTCTCTGAGCCAGTGTGAAGTGTGAAATTTATAAAGTGTGAACTTTCTAACTCCTTTGTCTCTGCCTGCAGTATCTCTGTGAAATGTGAAGTGTGAAGTATCTAACTCCTTTGTCTCTGCCCTCTATATGAAATGTGAAGTTTCTATCTCCTTTGTCTCTGCCATCTGTGTGAAGTTTCTAACTGGTTTGTCTCTGCCATCTATGTGAAGTTTCTAACTCTTTTGTCTGTGCCCGCAGTGTCTCTGTGAAATGTGAAGTGTGAAGTTTCTAACTCTGTAAAGTGTGAAGTTTCTAACTCTGTGAAAAGTGAAGTTTCTAATGCCTGTATCTGCGCCCTCAGTGTCCTTGGGAGTGTGTGAGGTCAGGCGGTGCGCGGAGCAGAAGGCCATCGAGAAGGCCAGGCAGAACGACCTGACCCTTGAGGAGGAGGAACTGGTCCTGTCTCAGTGTGACGCCACAGGGGGCTTCGAACCCAGGCAATGTGCGGGCAGTCTGTGCTTCTGTGTGGACGAGGCGGGGCAAAGTGTGGCCGCCAACCCTAACGGGACGTGTAAAGGTGGGTTTGCCTGTTGTTTGTTTGTGGGTGTGTACGTGTGTGTGTGGGTGTGTACGTGTGTGTGTGTGTGTGT